CGCTACGGCGCGCGGTTGGCCGCCATCTTGCCGCTCCCGTAGGCGCCGGGAGCTGGGAGGGGAGAAGGGCAGGAAGCCGGGAGTTGGGAATCCTGGGATAGTGGCGGACCGAAATTGGCCTTTGCGAAGGCTGAGTCCTGGGGAAGGGGGAACCCAGGAGACTTGTAAGGTGGAGGAGCGCGTCCCACGACTGAGCCCACTATTCCTTCAGGGCGCGGAGAAGGGGCGGTTAGCGGCACCTATTCCGGAGGTCTAGACTGGGGTGTGACCCCGGAGTTAAGGGTTTTTATTTCCATACGAGATGAGGGTCACCTTCGCCCCATCCCCGGGGTTGGAAAAGCCACCGATCGTCCCAGGGGCCAAGTAGCTGTTAGCGCTTTGGACTCGGCTGTCATGGAGATCACGGGTACCGGGAAAACTTAATACAAGTAGCGACTGCTGCGTGTTCGGATGGAGCCCAGGCGCCGAGACCATTCGAAACACGCTGCGTCCAACAGCGGAATGGGGGCGCGAATGTAACTCAGGGAGAACGACGTTAGACTTCAAATCACGGAAGGCAAAGCCGACTTCCTGGGGCGCTGGCGCTCGGAGCCGTCACCCACGCGCGTAACTGACATGGCGCCCTCGCGGTCGTCGTTTCCGGGCGGGTCCTTCCGACGGCCCCCGCGGTGATTCCATCACTCGGCTTCCTTCCCGGCCTGCCTCGCGCCGGCGGCCGGGCTGGGCCAGAGCAGCCCAAGATGGCCGACTTCGAGGATCGGGTGTCGGATGAGGAAAAGGTAAGGAGTCCGCCTCTCTCTCTCACCTCCACCCCCGCGAGGGAACAGGGGCCCGACCCGGCTGCGGTGGGAAGCCTGGCAGTGTCCCCAGAAAAAAGAAGCCTCTTGGTCGATGCTAGCAGACGCTCTCCGCAGTTGGGACGCTTCCCTCCTCAGGGGCTTCCTTCTGCCTCACGGTGGCCCCAGTTCCCCATTCCTCAACTCTTCTTTTCCTCCACGGCCTGAGGCACAGCCCAGTGGACCTCAAGCTAGAGAAGAGACTTTTTCTTTATTAAATCGTAACCGTGGGCTCTTTTCTGTTTTTCAGAGGGGGCCATAGTGATGTCGAGGCATTATCAAGAAGCAGTAATATTTTACCGCCTTTCGCTGTGCGGGATCACCCCATCCCCCCTTTTTACATATGATTGGGGCTAGTTTAGGGCGAGTCACTTCCTGGTCAGAGTGGCCTCTTAACTTCCCATTTGCTCCTCCTTCCTCAGGAAGTGATTTTGCTGTCACGACTCCTCACTAGGGAGAGGTCTTCAAGTGTCCATCTCACTACACGTCCACTTTTATGTACTGTCGGCTGATCTAGTTCGCTGTAATAGATGTGTGACCTCAGGGGCCTGCGTGCAGAATTTGACCCCTCTTCCCTGTAGACCCTCCCTTGACTGTATGTACTTAGGGCCAGGGTGACTCCATCCCTTGCATCTTACATCCTCCTAACTATAATTTTTTGAAAAGTACTTTTCAGTTTCTTGTTAACAAATCAAGAATGGCCGATGGATTTTTTTAAAAACTCCAGAAAGGTTTTATATAGCACATAAACCTCATGTTAATACATTCAGGTATGGACAAAGCATCCCTCCTTTGATACTCCACTGTGATACCTCTAAATTTAGTTAGATGTGTCAGTGTGCAAATTGTGTGTACTTCTTTAAGAGTCTTAAATACCAGTGCTTATGCTAAGTTAGGTGGAATAACTTTTTTTGGCAATCGCACACCTTTCTAATAGTTTGTCAGCAATTTCATTAAATATCTGATTTTAGGTCCGGTAGAAATGAGACTTGTTCTTCTAGATGATTTGTTATGTAGGACAAAAATTACGTTTGTTGTTTCCCATGGTTGCTGTTACAAAACACGTGCCTTTAAATGCTCTGTAAATTTATCTGGGCTCTTTATTTTTTTTTAATAAAACAGATTGGAATGTGGGAGGGGATTGTATATGATACAGGCATTCTCTGTATAGAATATATCTTACAGGGCTAGTCATGCGGGGTGGTGGATAAGGTAGCTGGATCCCACATGGCCCACTCTGCCATTGGAGGCTCAAAATCTGTAGAACAGAGAAGGGGTTATGACATGGTCAACCCCTCCCCCTGGCAGGGGTGATTTCTCTGTCTGTCTGTGTCAGTTAGGGAGTGCAGGGGAGTACAGGAGCCCCGTAGCAAAACCCAAAAAAAAGGATGTATACTTACCTACTGAAATGCTGCGGAAAGTGTCCAGCATGCCATTATACATTTTAGGATTAGATTTTTTTTCTGATTTTGAATTGGTTCTCATAAATGTTTAAGAAGACTTATAGGTGAATTTATGCGGGAAAGAAAACTATAATAAAATGTTTATTCTCAGGCAAATAGTTATGATTAAGACAGAATTAGAGTAGAAGTCCTGGGATAAGGAAACATCTGTTAACCTATTTGATCGTCTACTTTGTTTAAGCATATGTGTAGTTACAAGAAAATTTCACAAATAATTTAGATAATAAACTGAAGTTGTAAACTGAAGTTCATTGTGCCCAAGCAATACACAGTTATCTGGGCTGTTGGATTTTTGTCTTTGACACCAGGTTAGAATACCTTTCAATTAAATTTGGGAAAATGTGTGTATATTTCAAAGTGTAAAGGTGTTTTGGGATATTGACAGTGTTTTAATAATACCAGTCGTCCTGATTTTTTAACAGTAAATCTATGATCAGTTTCCTCTTTCCTCCCCTTCTGTTGCCCAATATGTTTTAATACTGCTTTTTATCTTTGTTAAATTTTCTGAAAAAGAAATAAATCTTGAGGTAAATTTGTTGATGATGGTCTCTGATTTTCTTGCAGTTATTTCTTTAAAAGCTAGTAAAATCATCACATTTCATAACTAAGTGCTGAAGTTATCACTTTATAAAGAGGAAGTTGGGTTTCTGCTGCATTGTTACCTGAAATGGTCATGATGAACTGTCTAAATAAAACAGGAAGTTGAAAGTGTAATAATTTGCAGAAATAAATGTTTTTAGGCGTAACCTCGAGTTCACAGTTTCTGAGAAGGAACTCTGCTCTTCTAGTTAATTCAAACTCTTAGTTAATTAGCTCTAAATGTTTAGCAAAACTAAGATACCGTAATTAGGAACCTTGAAATAGGAAGTGAACTACTTGTTTGGTCTTTGCATTATCTTTTTCCTTTATTTTATGATTCAGCATTTTAAAAACAAATAGAATTTTGGGGATTAAAAAGTGATTACCACATTTTTCCTCTTCAGACTAACTGCTAGAATATTTATGTACAACTTCACAACTTCAAATATACCATAACTGGAAAGTGGATCTGAATGCTTTCAGTTCAGACAGTGGTATCATTATTAAGGCTTTTTTTTTTTTTTTTTAAACACGGTTATCAGAAGTAACTTAGTAGAGATAGAAAAAATGTTGGGCCTGCTCCATAACTCAGTGGTTAAGAGAACCGGATCCCAATGGGCTGACTGTGGTTCAAATCTTAGCCCCAGTGGCTTGAAAAACATGTTAGGCTAGTGTAGGCACGTACTTTCAAAACCTCAGGATGGAGAAATAGAGAAGAAATTGTGGCATGACCATGCCCCATTGGAGGAAGGGTGCTTTTTCCTTCTGTTTCTCTGGCAAACCTCTGTATGCAACTGCTGGGGACTTAAAATAATGTTAACCAGATAGAGGAATTTGAAGGTTTACCTAAAGCTCCTGAAAGATATTGATACTTTTATTTTTAGCTATTTTATTGCCAAAGAAAAAGAGAGAATACTCTCAATGGGACTTGGTCATGCTGCAACCCTTTTTCCTCCATATCTCTATCTTAGGACTCTGGGCAGTGCAGGAGTGTTTTTCAAGCCACTGGGGCTGAGATTAGAACCATAGTCAGCCATGTGGAAATCTGGCCAGCTCCATGTATTGCCCTTAACCACTGTGATACAGGGCTGCCCTAGTGTTTGTATTTTTAAACTGAGTTTCCTTGGTTTTATATAACTTTTTTTAGTCTCTTACTAGATGAATCATTATCCTCGTAGGTTGAAGTGAGTACTAAAGCTTATTTGCTGCAGCGGTTTTCTAACAGGTCATCAATTAGTATCTGTCATTTTATCTTCTTTTCAGTTAGCTTTGTTGAATAGTCTTCATATAATCTGTTATAAAATCCTGGGACCAGGGACTAGCAAATGGCTTAATGGTTATGTCGCTGGACTCCCACGTAGTCATTGAAGTCCTGGACCAAACGGACTTAAATGCCAGGTGGGTGTGCGTGCCCAAGTTCCCAAGAGGATAACGGAGAAGAAGGGATTGCAGTATGGCCATCGTCCCTGGGAGGTGATTTCTCGCTTCCTGTCTGTCTCTCTGGCAAGTGCACACGCCCTATAGCAAAAGTCTTCAACTCAAAAAGAAAAAGAAAAGAGGAACCAGCAGTTGGTGTAATGGCTATGTCATTGGACTCCTAGGTGGTCACCGCAGTTCGAGTCCTGGACCTGGTGGCTTAAACTCACTCTGGGTGCATGTGTGTGCGTGCATGCCCAAGATCCCGAGAATGGAGGAGAAGGAATTGTGGCGTGGTCATCCCCTGGGGGTGATTTCTGGCTGTCTCTCTGTCGCTCTCTCTTTCTGATGAGTGCCCTATAGCAAAAAAAAAAAGAAAGAAAGAAAAGAAAGGAAAAAAAGAAAATCCTGGGACAGAAGCCTAAGTCTACACAGGTATAAACTCAAGATGCTTTGTCTTTTGTTGAGAGTATACATTTATTAAAAATCTCTCTCTCTAAAAAAAAAAAAAAAAGAGTATAGATTTATCATAATTATTGGCTAAATGAAAAATCAGAATTGCAGTATCTACAACATAAATTACAGATGGGACCGGCAAGTGGCGTGGTGGTTAAGGGCGCTGGACTCCTACATGGCCGACTGGTTTGAATCCTGGACCTGGCAGCATGTTCTCTCACTTCTCTTTCTTTCTCTCTGTCCCTCTCTGGTCAAATTTAAATAAATAAATAAATCTTTTTTAAAAAAATTACCAATGAGGTATTGGAAAAGAATGATCCTGAGTGTTGGTAGATTTGGCAGCTCCTTGCTGTGCTTCTGGACATTTGTGTGATTTTTGGAAAAGTTACCTGATTTGTATGGATAGCTATTCCTTTTAAAATAGGGAGGTACAGGGGATTGAATCTAACTGACCCACCAAAGTTTAAGAAACTTTTTCAAGTTCTTAACTTTAAAAATCTCCATTTCGAAAATTGAAACATTGGGACCAGCAGTTGGCGTAATGGCTGTGTTGCTGGACTCCTATGTAGTCGACTGTGGTTCGAGTCCTGAACCCTGTGGCTTAAACTCACACCAGGTGCATGTGCATGCGTGCCCAAGATCCAGGGAGGAAAGTGGAGGAAAAGGGATTGCGGTGTGGCCATCCCCCAGGAGGGATGATTTCTCGCTTTCTGTCTCTCTGTCTCTCTCTGTCTTTCTGGTGAGCAGCATGTGCCCTATAGCAAAAACCTCTCAAAAAAAACAAAAAAAGAGAAAAAAGAAAGAAAGAAAAGAAAATTGAAACATTAAAACATTCAAAGAGGTTCTATTATTGTCTACTTTCCAACAGTTGCCTTGATAACAAGACCATGAGTTCCTTAGTAACCAAAACCAAGTCTTGTTTATCTAGTGCCTAACAGCACCAGAAACACAGTGAATGTAGGCACAGCCTGTTGGTATGAAAGAGATCACTGGTTCATTAATTCTCATGTTTTCCTAGCTCGCACTCCT